AAGAAGACGTGTCTTCAGAGGTTTTTGTGTCGTTTTTTTCCAGTAGTTCTTGGTGCAGCGCCCCCACAGGCGAGCGGGGGAATAGGTTGGTTCAACAGGCTGACTCGACTGCACAGTGCAGTGTGAATGCAAACGCACCAGCTCAAATGTAAACAAAATGTTATGAATATTGGTCCTGAACCGAACCGAGTCTACCGGACTATCTGGTGTGAAAACGACCTTACTTGCTGCCAGAAGCATTAATATATAGTTAGTTATTAGTTATAGTTAGTATAAACTTTATTGATTAGTATAAATGATGTAACGCTTTGTCCATCCAACAAGTTGTGTGGACTTTGATTTCACCGTGCATGCTCATAATAGAAGAACCTGACAAGTTGTTTAATGATATGAAATATATTTTGTTAACAAAGAAGAGTCGTAACATTTATTAAACATTACTTCTGTATTACAAAAACAAAACATAAAAAAAAAAAAAAAAAAATCAAAATTGTGCTTTGACAAAATCATCAATAAAACTAAAAAATGTTGTCAACGCGAAAGGGGAAAAGAGGGGCAGGTATCGCTCTCGCATGGAGTTCATACTCTTCTGCTGGAGGTTTCTTCCTTTTATAAGGGAGTTTTTCCTTTCCACTGTTGCCATTGTGCTTGCTCAGGATGGGAGACCGCAACGAAGCAAAGATTCAACTCGTCTGCTGGCCTCCTTAGATAGAGAACTTTACCAATTGGCTTTTTTATGTATGTGAATGTTTCTGTAAAGTGCCCTGAGACAACTTTGTTGTGATTTGGCGCTATATAAATAAACTGAATTGAATTGACAAGCGTCCAGAGCGTCATAAAAACAGCAGCTGAGGAGGTGTCAGAGTTATTTATTTATCGTCTCAGTAGCAGAGGGGAGGGATACTGTTAAAGCAGGGGTGTCAAACTCACTTACAAAAGGGGGCCAAAATTAAAACCTTTTTCAAACTAAGGGCCAATTTCAGAAACTACATGACTCAAATCCGATATCCAGCATCTTTTCTTGGTCACAGGTTCCTGAACAAGAGTTTGATTGGTCTCATTTGACGTTCTCTGTTGTGCTTTCAACATCATAATCAAAGATTACTGAAAAAATTCAAGAGCTAGAAATATTTTATGTTTCACATATCATCTTGGGGGCCAAATAAGATGTCGGCGAGGGCCAGATTTGGCCCCCGGGCCTTGAGTTTGACACATATGTGTTAAAGCATGGCTCCCAAAATGACAGCGTCACCATTCTTTAAGGGGCAGAGATTTTTTTTTAAGGGTAGAGGCAGAAATGCTTCACTTGAAGGGGCAGATGATTATGTGGTATTAAGAAGTTGTGTTGTGTCGTCTGTTGTTTTTAACATTAGTGTTTATGCAATTATTTTCAGTTTACATAACCAGTATTAGTTTTATTTGTTCAAGGCAGTCACTTTTACATACCATCACGTGCTCTTAGATCCTCTGACCAGATGCTTTTAGCAGTCCCGAAAACCTTTTATAAATCCAGAGGAGACAGAGCCTTTTGAGCTCTGGCTCCTAAATTGTGGAATGAGCTGCCACTGGAGGTCAGGCAGGCCCCGTCACATTTTTTTTCATTGGCTTTTATCCTAGAGTGAGTCAGCATCTGTGTCTTAATGTTGTATTCTTTTACTTATGATGTTCAGGTTATTTTTTTAATATATATTTAGGTGTTTTTATTGTTTTACTGTTTTTTGTTTGTTTTTAATTTTGTACAGCACTTCGGATGGCTGCTGGTTGTATTTTAAGTACTTTAGAAATAAATTGGTATGGTATGATATTTGTTCCTAACTTTATTATTAATAAGCCTGAGAGTTACTGAATCCAAGCAAACAGTGGCCGGAACGCACTCTGTCAAAGTAATATTATTACTATTATTATTCCAAAAAAGTTCAATCTGGTCCTCTGGACATTCAAAAAAAAAACAAAACAAAGCAAAAAAATGTAGAAACGTTTCATCTCCAGGCCAGCGGTCACTCTTTCAGGGATGAAGATGTTCACATCCAGGACAGAGAGGAACGATGGTTTGAGAGAAGAGTAAAGGAGGCCATCTTTGTGAAAATAAATCGTCCATCATTAAACAGGGGTGGAGGCCTACGGGTTCAACTGTCCCCCTCTTACAATGCTGTTATTGCTAGTATCACTCAACCCCCTGTGAATAGTAAACAGCCATCAGTGTGCTAATGATCCATTGTTAGGCTGATGGTCCTTCTTGACCATGTGAGCAGCTGGTTTTGGTTGTCAGCAGCAAACTGGTTGATCCACTCTGAGAAGGTGCTATTTAAGAGACTGAGCTGAATACAGCACCTCAGACTGAGGAAGTCTTTCGGATGAGAGACGAAACGTTTCTACATTTTTTTGCTTTGTTTTGTTTTTTATTGTTTTTTTTTTTAATGTCCAGAGGACCAGATTGAACTTTTTTGGATTTTTCTACCTGGATTATTGAGCATGCATCAGGATATTAATATTATTATTATGTATATTTAGTTGATGTTTTTCTTAGTTCATATCTTAGATGTTATTACTGTTTTTCTTTTACATTTTATTGTTGGATGTAACTGGGACCCTGTGTACATAATTTCGCTCCACCACATGTACCACGAGGTGCGAATGACAATAAGAAACTCTGACCCTCTAAGAGAATTCTGGGATCTTGTTCTGGCAGGATCCGCCTCAAATTAAGCACTGGGTAGAAGGATGTTAGAAATGCAGCTGCCAGGAAAAAGACAAAAAGGAGATATATGGATGCAGTTAGAGAGGACATGTAGGTAGTTGGAGTGAGGACAGAGAATGAAGAGGACAGAGTGAGATGGAGGAGGATGACTCACTGTGGAGACCCTGAAGAGGGTAAAGCAGAAAGAAGAAGAATATACAGTTGCAACCATTTCAACTTCTAATTGTTAAGAGCACTCAGGAGATGGCTTTTGGGTCATGTGTCATTTATGAATTTTGAAATATTAAGCTTTATTTAAGGAGCTCAGTTGGTAGAGCTGCTGTCTCTCAGCGAGCAGGTTGGCAGATTGAATCCCAGCTGGGGGGGCCATTCTGGGTGGAGTTTGCATGTTCTCTCTGTGCTGCATGCGTTTTCTCCAGGTACTCGAGTTTCCTCCCACAGACCAAAAACATGCATGTTAGGCTGATTGGTAATTCTAAATTGTTCCTAGGTGTGAGTGAGAGAGTGATTGGTTGTTTGTCTCGTTTGTGATGGACTAGAGACCTGTCCAGGGTATCCCCCACTTCTCACACAGTGACTGCTGGACATGGGTACCAGTGACCCCCACAACCCAGAGAGGAAGAAGCAGGTAAATATAATGGATGGATGAATGGAAGCTTTATTTAAACCATTAGGATACATTGAAAAAAGTTCAGCAGCTTGGATTTGGTCCAAAACTGCCCACTTCTGACGACAATCATCTTTACCTACTTTACACATTGTTCACATAGTGAAGAAAAAAAATGCTCACTGACATTTAAGAGGGATAAACTTCCACATCTCTGCTGAAAAACACTGCTGCAGGTCATTAGGATAGTTTAGTGGATCTCCAGCTCCCCACTGCTACACTTGGATGAGATCTACTTGAGCCGTCTCTTCTGGAGTACCACAAAGATTAGGAATAACACCACCCACCCAAGCTTTCCGGCTGGCTGCGTCAGAACCATGCGAACCCACACCAGACTCAAACACAGATTCATACACTGTCAATTGACTTTGACACACAATGAAAATAAAGCTTGCCATTATAACTTTAGAATGATATGCATTCATTAAAGAACTACCGTATTTTCTGCCGTACATGTCGCACCGCCCTACAAGTCGCATCAGTGCAAATAAGGCTAATAACGTGAAAAAAATTAATAAATACATCGCTTCACCATATACGTGGCATCTACTATGCATCACCACTGATGTGTTGTGTTTGTTACGAGTCACTGCTGACAACCCGGAAATGTGGGCGTGTGTTGTGCCAAAAATCGATTGGCTGCATAATTGCGGGAGCGTGCACGGGAGGACTTTAACAAGATTAACACTTAAAAACAATTACTTGTTTGCTTGAAATTATAGTAAAGGTGTGTCTCAGTCTAACTTTTGCTTAATAAATGCACTTTAACAGTCAAATCAGCTGCATTTCAAAAGCTGAGTCGCAGAAATGGGCATGTGCAGAGGGACGTGCCGCTGTGCATTTCTTCGAAATTTAACAAGATAAACCCCTAAAAACATTTGTTTGTTTCCTTGACTTCACAGAAAAGGTGTGTCTCAGTTGAACTTTTACTTAATAAAAGGACTTTAATGGTCAAATCAGCTGTATTTCAAAAGTAATCGTTGCCTCGGTGCTCCGGGAGCGAGCAGACAGGGAGGAAATCATGAAGGAGGAACACTGCGCATTTCTTCAAAATTTAACAAGTTAAGCACCAAAAACAATTGTTTGTTTGCTCGACATTATAGCAAAGGTGTGTCTCAGTTGAACTTTTACATAATAAATGCACTTTGTCAAATCAGCTTCATTTCGGTGCAGCGAAATGAAGCTGATTTGACGGTTGCTCCAGGCGAGCTGGACGAAGGTGGCAGTCTGTGGAAAGCCGATTGTGTCAATAATAGCCACTTTTACCTATTACATGATACAATGACATGCCATACTACTCGAGTGCCATCTAGCAGCTGAAAATGGTAGTGTTCAATATTTTCAGTCAGAATGAATGAAAACGGTCATATTTCAGCCAAAAATTGGTTTATAAATATGGGAAAAAATCCATAAATACGTTGCTTCAGCATATAAATCGAAGGTCTTGCAAATTATACAAAAAAAGTGACTTATAGGGAGAAAAATACGGTATATGTCATTTTATTTATTGTACTTTTAGCTTCCTCCAATAAAAATGTCTAGGAAAATGCAGAAATACAAAGAAAATTGCACAACAAAACAGACAAATACAAATATAGACTGAATGCAGTCATATTCGGATTCAGAGCGACTCACTCTTTCCGCCAGTTCTGCAGCAGTCATGTTTGGGTCATATGGAATGGGATCTCCCAGGAAGGTTCGAAATTTTACAGGAAATCCTCCATAAACAGGAGCTATAGGGAAACGAAACCTTTCATACAGCCAACGAAACAGTCCTAAACAGAGAGAGAACCATGGTTAAATTTAAAAAACAATATTCTTCAGACAGTGACAATTGTACACATTTTCATCAGATCATAAAATCCTTCAGTTATGTCCAAAAATTAAATAATTTTGCAATGAGAGCTGATGCTGGTCAGAACCTAAGCATAACATAAAATGTTTTGACAAAGTCTTTATACGCCCTGATATTTTTCACTTTTTGACTCTTTACAACCACAAATTATTTTTAGTATTAAAAATATTTATATGGAATTTTATGTGACCAACACAAAGGAGCCCATATTTGTGAATTGGAGGGAAAATAATTAATGGATTTAAAAATATTTTACAAATACCAGTCTGAGTTTGGTGTACATTTTGTGTATATTCAGCAACTGATCTGTTTCGTGTTGCTGCTGATCTGTTTTAATGTTGGTGTGTTTGTGCGTGCACATCTGCTCGCGGACTCATGTTCATGTTTGTGCTGATGTTCAATGTTTTATGTTATGAGTGCTTAGTGTATATTTGGTTGATGTTTTTCTTAGTTCATATCTTAGATCTTATTACTGTTTTTCTTATACATTTTATTGTTAGATGTAACTGGGACCCTGTGTACATAATTTCGCTCCACCACATGTACCACATGACGTGCGAATGACAATAAAGAAACTCTGACTCTGAACTTTACTCGAATACCCCTAAAACTCAGAGCAACCAGCTGCCTTTAGATGCCACCTAATGAATAAACTGGGTTCAACTGTATGCAATTTATCTTCAATATAATCACAGCTATTCTGTGAAAGCTGCAGAGGTCTGTTACAGAACATTAGTCATTCATTCAACCTTTATTTATACAGGCTATTCTCATTGAGCCATGAGGATTCATTTACAACAGGGACCTGTAAGTGTAGTCATCAAACAGCATTGTGAAGACCAAGACCAACAGTAGCCAGGTCAAAGACAAAGTTTGTGGACCAACATGGCTGCAGACGTGAAGTAGCTTTGGCTAAGCTCTCGTTGGCCCAGCTGAAAAACTGATTTTTATGATTATATCCTCGCTGCCTTCAAGGTGGATTTTGTCTCTGAAACTGGTGTCGCCGTGTAACTGAATCAACAAACTTGTAATAAGGCCTCTAAACAAAAAAAAGTTCAAAACTTCGGTCTCTTCTCCCCCGTAGTCTATTGTCACCGCAGCAACCTCGAGCTGCCATGATGAAGGAACAGGTGGACCTGCAGGTGCATTGGCCCCACCTTCTCCGAGCTCCAGAGGGACAGACGAGTCAGCTCTGAGGTCAGACATTCTGGCTTCAATCCAAAATCCAAAATCATAGCAATAATTAGGATGGAAATAAAAGCAGCTCTGACGGATGATTTTAATTTTATCAGGAGTGAATTGCAGACAGTCCGAACAGAGCTTGCTAACACCACTGCAGGCCTCGACCGAGTTAAACCTGGTGTTTTAGTAGTGGAGAACTGTCTGTCCTTGTGCTCGGATGAGATGGAGAAGCTGCGTGGGACGTGATGGAGTTAAAGAGTGAAGTAAATGGGCTTAAAAAACTGTTACAATCCATGGAGGGAAATATGAGACATGACAGTATTAGAATTATTGGACTTCCTGAGTCGGCAGGTGAATGTTCATCTAAGGTGATAGCTAAAATGCTAATGTAAGCCCTAAAACTGGATAAATTGCCGCTGACTGATTACGTGTACTAGACGCCAGGCAGAAGAGGCTCAGCTGGAGGATGTGTGGAAATACTATGACGGGCGCTCAGCGGTGGCCCGAGCCACTTCAAAGAATCAACCATATTCATCGCGGCTGACTACACATTTACGGAGGTGAGGCAACTCCTGCGGAACCAGCCGGGGGTTCAGTATGGTCTTCTTTTCCTGACATGGCTTTGCATCACACATGGAGGGACGGGCAAGGTGTTTGTAAACTCCATTAAAGAGATGGAATACATCAAGAAAAATATCATTCCAGCAACGGGAGGCGAGGACCATAACAAATTAAAATAAACCATAGGCTCTTACAATCAACAACTTTTATTAAACTTGTGTTTGGCTCAATAGTTAGCTGTGGTCCTCAGTGGCGGTATGTACATTTTATTTGTATTATGGGGCAAGTGTACAGTGTTAATGCTTTGAATTGATTAATGTAAGTTTTGGTATACAGTGCACATCCTATAATAGGAGCATTTTTCTTTTTTTTTTGTGGTTCCACAGTGTTAACGCTCTGACTTGATTTGACGTACACGTTTGAAATTTACGGTAACATTTGCATTTTTTGTTGTTTATTTTTGTGTATTTTAATTATCATTATATCACGTGGGCAAATGGGAGCCCAGAGAGTCAGACTGTGTTCTCTAGGTAAGCATTAATGTGTGGATTTTCAGCTGATGGGGATTTTCGTTCTCTCCATATTCAGGTAGGAGAGAGGTGGGTTTATACCGGATCAATCTTTTGTTTTTTTTTGTTTCTTTTATCAGAGTCAGAGTCAGAGATTCTTTATTGTCGTTCGCACCACATATAGTAAGTAAGTAAGTAAGTAAAACTTTATTTATATAGCGCTTCTCAAGATAAAAATCACAAAACGCTTCAACAAATCAGATAAACAAAAGCAAAAAACAAATTCAGGCAAAAGCAGATTTAAAAAGATAAGTTTTTAGCTGGCCTTTAAAAGAAATCACCGAGTCCAGTGATCGGAGAGTTTGAGGAAGAGAGTTCCAAAGTCTTGGAGCCAAGGAAAAGGCTCCATCTCCTTTAGTTTTCAATTTTGTCTGGGGGACATTCAGCAGGCCTTGATCACAGGACCTCAGAGCTCTGATCGGTGTGTAGGGATGTAAAAGTTCTGTTATGTAATTTGGTGTTTGACCATGTAAAGCTCTCCAGGTTAAAACCAAAACCTTAAAATCCACTCGATGTTGAACTGGGAGCCAATGAAGTTGCTTTAAAAGTGGTGTTACATGGCAATACTTTGAGGATCCAGTCAGGAGTCGAGCCGCAGCATTTTGCACAGACTGCAACCGGTCTAGGGAGGTTTTGTTTAAACAAGTATACAGTGCATTACAATAATCCAGGCGAGATGAAACAAATGCATGAATTAACATTTCCATTTCTGGACGGGAAACAATATGGCTAAGTTTGGTGATGTTACGCAGATGGTAGAAACAGGAACAAACCAGAGACTTAATATGATTTTCCAGAGTAAAACAAGAGTCAAAGGTTAGCCCAAGATTTCTAACCGAAGACTTAGCTAATTGACCAAGAGGTCCAAGGTTCTGCTTTATCACTGCAGTTGTTTTTTCTGGAGCAAAGATGATTACTTCAGTTTTCTCGCTGTTCAACTGAAGAAAACTTTCTGTCATCCAGCTTTTAACTGATTCCATACAGTTGAGTATGATTTGTATTTTTGAAACCTCAGTTGGTAAAAAAGAGATGTACAACTGAATGTCATCAGCATAACAGTGATATGAGATATCCTTAAAAGATGACAGTATTGGACCAAGAGGGAGCAGATAGATCAAAAACAACAATGGCCCCAGAACAGAGCCCTGAGGAACACCAAAATAAACAGGGCAGGACTGGGGTCTGAAAGTAGAGGAAGCCAAGAAGACTGATCTATCGGACAGGTAAGAGGACAACAATTTTAAGGCAGAACCTGAAATACCAGCCCAGCTCTTCAGCCTGTCCAGCAAGGTCAAATGATCAAGTGTCAAAAGCCGACGTCAGATCCAGCATAAGCAGCACAGAACATTTTCCTGCATCTCGTTGCATCAGTAGATCATTTGAGACCCTAAGGAGATGTCTCAGTTGAGTGGGATTTACGAAACCCAGACTGAAAATGGTCCAGAATACTGTGTTGATCAAGAGCAGCAGTTAACTGCTGGACCACAACCTTCTCAATAATTTTAGCCAGAAAAGGAAGTTTGGAGATTGGTCTGTAACTGCTAAATGAAGAGGAATCCAAATTAACCTTTTTTAAGAGTGGGTGGATAACAGCACTCTTTAGGCAAACAGGTACTTGACCAGAAGCTAAATAAGCATTTACTATGTTCAGTACACTAGGACCAATGCACTGAAAGACACCCTTAAACAAGCCTGCAGGTAGAATGTCCAGAGAGCAGGAGGATGTCTTCATGGAGCTAACAAGCTTAGCGAGCTCATGAAGGGACACTGGCTGGAAGGAGTCTAAAATAACAGGCCGAGCTAGAGAGGGAACAGTCAGCCCAGGTGCAGGTGAAGGAATATTATTTCTGACCTTACTGACTTTGTCTATAAAATAAGAATGAAAAAGTTGGCAATCCTCATTTGAAGAGATAGGAACAGAAGGTGAAGCTGGGGTGGTAATGTCCCTGATTTCCTGATGCATGCTCAATAATCCAGGTGGAAAAATCTAAAACAGTTAAATCTGGTCCTCTGGACATTCAAAAAAAACAAAACAAAGCAAAACAACAAAAACATGTAGAAACGTTTCGTTTCTCATCCGAGAGACTTCCTCAGTCTGAGGTGCTGTTTTCAGCTCAGTCTCTTAAATAGCACCTTCCCAGAGTGGATCAACCAGTTTTGCTGCTGACAACCAAAACCAGCTGATCACATGCTCTTTGGTTCATCCCAAAGATCCAGTCCCCCAGCACAAACAGAGTAATGTTGTGTATGCTGTTCAGTGTCAGGAGGGCTGTGGTCAGTCTTACATCGGGGAAACAAAACAGCCACTGGCCAAAAGGATGGCCCAGCACAGAAGATCAACATCAACAGGCCAGGACTCTGCGGTCTACACTCATCTCCAGGCCAGCGGTCACTCTTTCAGGGATGAAGATGTGCACATCTTGGATAGAGAGGAACGATGGTTTGAGAGAGGAGTAAAGGAGGCCATCTTTGTGAAAAGAAATCGTCCATCGTTAAACAGGGGTGGAGGCCTACGTGTTCAATTGTCCCCCTCTTACAATGCTGTGATTGCTAGTATCACTCAGCCCTCTGTGAGTAGTAAACAGCCATCAGTGTGCTAATGATCCAT